CACACAGCTAACACAGCCCATGGACACCCAGGGCCACCTTTGAGCGTGCGTTCCGCCTCGATCACGGCGTCCAGGGGAGGAGGCTCGATGGCCTTGGCCAGGAACTGCCCGATCCCTCCCAGCCGCAGCAGTTTGATGCTCAGAGCAATCTCATGGAGTGGTGTCCGGAACATCTCGGGTGTCATGTGAGTCTGCAGCCTGCAAAGAGAAGAGAACAGAGTCCCACATTCCTCTGAGCACAGGCTCTGATGACCATGAGGGCTGATGCCACCAGCAGCAACCATAGCTCTCCAAAGCAAACGCTGCCTCCGAACCAACCCCTCAGCTCCCATTGTGCTCCTGCAACTTGGGCTCTGCTGCCAGGAAATTCCTGCTTCTCCCTTCTCCTCTGGGGAATTTTCACCGAGAATGCACAGAGGTTTACATTATTTGAAGGAAGGTAACCTTAAAACCATGAAGTCCTTTGATTACTTCAGCAGCCTAAAAGCAGTTCACTGTCACAAACTGTTGATTAAAATCACTCCACTGTGCTAGACAGCAGATCTAAATAAATTCAACAAGAGTTTTTGACCAACTGATGCTTTCAGAGGCTACAGAAAGCTGAACATCAAAACACAGCTATGCTCTAACAGCCAGAGAAAGGACAGTGCAACTTTCATGTGAGAGATCAAACATGGAGTACAAGAGCTGTGTAGCCTTCTCCAACCAGCAGAGATTTCCATAGCTCTAGGAACAGAGAAACAGCTTGGCAGAGACAAGAGGTCAGAAGTTTCAGCAGCAGGGAAGGTGCTAGAGCAGCATGAAGGGGTTTCCTGGCCACAAAATGAGGATGGAGAGAAAAGCAACATCTGCTTTCCCTGCTTTTCCTCACTTCCATGACAGAATTGCCTGTTACATGGAGGTCCCAGGTGCCCCCAATGTTTGAAGGTGAACTAGAGCCTTCCCCTCACTACAGACCTCTTTTCTGCCTTGCCTCAATCCCCAAGCAGTATTATTTTTCCCCTGAGAGGTTCTGTAGTTTGCTGTGAAGCTCTTAATAATGAAATCACCAACTATTCACCCACCTCATGCTACAGGTAAAAATATATCAACATCTATTTGAGGGTTTTTAAGCCAGAGAACTGAGATGTCGACCAGAAGCAGCAGCCAGCAGGTCTGGGGGAGCTGTGTGAGGGTGTGTTGTCCCTGGGGGGCACAGCCTCACCTCTCAAAGCGAGCTCTGCTGCACAGGTGGAAGCAGAACCCGGCGCGCACGCGCCCGGCGCGGCCCTTCCGCTGCTCCAGGTTGGTTTTGGATGCCCACACCGTGGCATAGTTGGTCATGTTGTTATGTGCAGTGAACAGCTTCACTTTTTGCCTGTTACAGGGGGAAAAAACAGGACTTTAGATCAGTTTTACTCCATCTGATGTCCTGCCAAATCTGTTCCTGTGTTATTGCTTGCAGCCACACTGTAACCACCCCAGTCTGAGTAGCTGAGCTGTGGCTAGCCAGGTGTCAGTCTGGAAGATGAAGCATCACACTCTATTAAAGCAGTGCCCCCAGCTATGGCACAGAATGATGTTCTCACTACTGTCCCAACAGTGTAAAATCCTCAGAATTTGTAATGTGTAATTTGCTCAGAGAACATGCACAGCAAGGCAGGATCTGTAACAAGCGACACAAATCTTCCTCTTTTGCACCAGGCAGACACTGAGGGTTTGTAATGCTCATTTGGCAGATGACATCTATCAAACAGGCATGGAGACCCAGTGCCACCTCAGTGAATAGTGCCAGCATGACCAGCCCAGCCCACTGGGATGCCAGCGTGGTGTGTCACTGTGCTGCACAGCTAGAGACAATGCTAATTTGTCTGCAGTGAGTCCTCAAGCTCAGCCCTGGGAGCATGGGAACACAAGGCACTTGTGTGTGCTCCCAACCCTCTTTGTGCATTCCCAAGAGTAGGATTCCCAGAACAAAAAGCTGCTTTCATGAACTCACTTGCAGGAGTCGATGACGAAGACGACGTCGTTGATGGTGATGCTGGTCTCGGCGATGCTCGTGGACAGAATGACCTGCAAACAGCAGGAAAGGGACAGGGACATTGCTGGGGCTGAAAGAGCTGATGGACAGCAAGATAAATTGCAGAACTTATAGAGAGAGGTCAGCAATACACTGCCCAACAGGAGTGCACACCGAGGGTTCCCCTACCTTGGTGACTCCGGCAGGCACGGGATCAAACACTCGGCGCTGCTCCTCCAGAGGGATTTGGGAATGCAGAGGTAAAATCCTGTACTGCTGACCTCCTGCAACAGGGATACGAGGTGCTTGGGAATTACTACATGAATCTCATTTTTTCTTTGCACAACATAATCATTTCATAGTATGTTAAGGGGTTGGAATGGACTTATAAACCATCTAGTGCCCACCCCAAGCCCTGGGCAGGGACACCTCCCACCAGAGCAGGTTGCTCAAGGCTCATCCAACCTGGCTGTGAACACTGCCAGGGTTGGGGCAGCCACAGCCTCCCTGGGCAACCTGGGACAGGGTCTCACCACCCTCAGATTTCCTTCAGAAAAGATGGAATACAATAAACCAGCTGCTTGTACCAAAGCGTGGATTCATTTCTAGATGCTTCTGCATTGTATAGATCAAGTTCCAGCCAGGCAAGAACACAAGGACAGCTCCTGGGACATTCAGAGTCTTGATGTAAACCAGCAGGGCCTCAATGAGCTCAAAAGAAGTTTCTCTCTCGCTCAGCTGAGCCATGGAGTGCTTTGTTTCTGGGCCGTATTCATCGCTGCAAATAAGGTTGCAATTGGTCTACAAAACAAAAACACCACAACAGGAATCACATAAATGAGTTGACTGGCAGTGTGGAGACTTCTGGCTGGCCAGGCAAACAGGAGAATGAGAGCTGTGGGCAGCTCCTTCCCAAGGAAAACTGGTCACTTCTTTAATATTTCAACTAACTGCCCAGAACAGAAGTTTTCAACCTACAAACTAAAGCTTTGCCATCAGAGTGAGTTGGTCTATGTCTGTAAGCCCTGATAACATCAACTGCCAGAGAAGAAGGGAGAGAGTCTAAATTTTCACCCTGAAAAGCTATCACCAAGCTCATTTTTCTCTGTTTCTTCAGCCAAGGTCACTAATCTTTACTTTCTAAAGCACTTCAGTTCTAGCTTTAAAGAGAATTAGGCTGACAAAAGATGAGAACTTTAGCTTCAATGAAAAAGGAATCCTTCAGTTTACAAGGGCAGCGAGAAAATGCAGTTCTGTTGCTGAAGTTAACAGCAACCTCAGCTATTATAAAGAGGAAAGCAGGTACAAGTGTTTCAGTTCAACAATGCCAAATGAATTACACACAAGCTAGAGCCCTCACTGGTTCATTTTCATAATAAAAAAGCCAAACATACATCCTCATCTTCAGCACTTTCTTCGTCCTTATCTTTCTTCTTCCTCTCCTTTGGTGGAGGAACAAAATGAGTCATCTGAATGCAATCTTCCAGGAAATAATCTGCAAGGACAGACAGGTTATTAGGACTGACTGCCAGACACCTGTAAGGGAACACCACTCTTTTCATCCTCTCTTGGGAATCCCCTGATATAACTGGGATGGTTCAGAGTATGAAGCCAAGAGGGATTAAAATCAAAACTAAAGCAGCTCCTGGAAGTGCAAGCAATGATTTACCCTGGACAGGAAAGGTCCTCCCATAGACCTCGATGATGGGACAGTTGAAGAAGTATTCATAGAACATAGTGGTGTCGATGGTGGCAGACATGAGGATAACCCTGATCTCAGGATATGCCTGAATGACATCCCTCAGCACCACCAGAAGGAAGTCAGTCTGCACAGAAACACAGTGAGAGCATCATTAGCTGCCTATCCACACAAAGCAACATCTTCTCAAAAGACCAGAAGGAATTACACACATACACATTTACTGAGCAGGAGTTTTGCTGGACAAGAGAAGTAAAAAGTAGCACAAAAACATTCTATAACCAGAAACAGTTGTCAGTGCTTTATTTTGAAAATGCTCAATTCCAGGGGTGACTTTTTAAGATTTCCAGCATAAAGAAGGTTTATTCTTTTCCCCAAGAACAGTTTGCTTCTTTCTTAACAATACATTACAACCTCAGGTCTTCTTAAAGTAGCCATAGCTCATAAGATGATCAGGAACAATTCAGTGCAAGTTTATAGTTCTGTGCAAGTTTAGTTCTGTTTATAGTTCTGTTTCAACATGACATCTCTAGTTTTGCCATGCACTTAGCTCCACAGGTGTAATCTCTATCTCAGCCAGCTACACCTTCAAAACCTGTATTTTACAGCATTAATACACACTTTGTAGAGATGCATCAGACAAATGTGTGTTACAATTCCATCCAAATGAGTCCCCAAATTCTGTCAAAACAAGCTCAAGCATCTTGTCACAACTAAACAGCTTCTCTCACTCTTGGTGTGGCAAAGCTGAAAAGCAGATGGAGTAATCAAGGGGACATAATGTTTCCTATTTCTTAAATGACATACAATCCCTCCCCTAATTCTGTTGTCAACTTGCTGCATTTTACTTCATGTAACCCCAAATTTCCAGGGATCACTCTCAAGATTCAAGTTCTGTAACACAACCCTGTCAGCAGAACAGCACTCCAGTGGCATTCAGTGTGCTCTCTCACTTGGACAAGAAGTGTTTGTACTTTGTACCCTGTTCTGTTTTCCAGAGAAGACCAGGACACAGGAGATCCTGACAGGAAACACAAGTCCTTGCTCTGCTAATCAGGTAAGGAGTAATTAAGAGTTTCTAAAGATCTCACTGAAGATGGAAAACTCACACAGATGGCACTTAGTCAGACACAGTTTGCTCTCACATGTTGGCTACTGCACAAAGCACACCCAGCAGCTAAACAGGACAGAGAGATGAGGACTCATCACCAGCTCACTCACATTAATGTCCCTCTCGTGGATCTCATCCACAATGACATGGCTAATGCCACGGATCCCAGTCTCCACCTTTCGCAGAAGAACACCTGAAACAAGACAGCAGGTAAATGTTCACAGCTCAGCTGCCCCTGCCAGCCCCTGGGTTAAAACAGGCAGTGTGCAGGCTGCTCACCCTTTCTCCTCCCCATCTCTAACTGCCATGCTTCCCTCTGTGCAGGTCAGGGGATGAGGCATTGCCACTAGACTCATCTTTAGCCACCCAACGCTGCTTCCCCTTCTAAGGGCAACCAATATATGGCAATTTCATCTCTTCAAGAGACTGTTGGTGAAGATGGTGAAGGGCCTAGAGGGGAAGCCACATGAGGAGTGGCTGAAGGCACTTGCTTTGTTCAGACTGGAGAAGAGGGGACTGAGGGGAGACCTCAACTGAGGTCTGCAGCTTCCTCATGAGGGGCAGCACTGGCCTCTGCTCCCTCTGACCAGCAACAGGACTCAAGGGACTGGCATGAAGCTGTGTCAGTGGAGATTTGATGGGTATCAGGAAAAGTTTCTTTGCCTAGAGGGTGTTTGGGCAGTGCTCATGGCCTCAAGCCTGACAGAGCTCAATGAATGTTTGGCCAATGCTCTCAGGCACAGTGTGATTCCTGGGGCTGTGCAGGGCCTGAAGCAGGACTCAATGCTCCTTGTGGGTCCCTTCCAACGTGGAATATTCTATGATTTCTGTGTGCTATCACACCTGTATTACCACACTTCTGAACAACAACCTTTATCCTTCTCTGCACCACAGATAACCCTTCTTTGCAAACTTCTATCAGAACATCCCCTTTCAACAGACCCCCTAAAAACACCCATCTAACCACACTCCTGCTCCACCCCAGAGCTCAGCCCCAGAAGTGCCCAGCTGTGCCCATGCCAGCCATACAGACCCACAGTGCAGAACATGATGCTGGCGTGGGGCCGAGGCAGCACCGACTCGAAGCGCACGCTGTACCCACAGCTCTGCCCAGGCTCCTCTCCCCTCTCGTAGGACACTCTCTCCGCCACGGACACCGCGCTGATCCGACGGGGCTGGGGGTGCAAAAGCATTCCCTAACTCAATGAGGAGACTTTGCAACTTTATCACAACCACAGAGAGCAAGAAAGTGGATTATCAATGCTGCAGGTGTCCTGTGCCAAGATTTCCTTAGAGTAATCCCTGAGCAACACTAATACCTGTAACAGCTTTTTTTTTCCCCTTCTGAAATGGTCAATTCTGCACATAAAATCACAGAGGAGGGATATAAGGATATATAGGAATTACCAGTTGGCTTTTGCCACAACTTTCCCATTCAATCTGTCCAAAAGTTTTCACCTGGGCAAGGCACAAGCCACATTATTCCAACAGTAACACTCCAAATGAAAACATATATAGTGCTGAGGTTTCTCCTACTTGTATTACTGAGGAGAAACCTCTATGAATGGTGTCCTGCAATGACAATCAGGTTCCTCCACACATCCTCCAATCCTTCAAGGCCAGCTTGGATTGGGCTCTGAGCCACCTGGTCTAGTGAGTGGCATCTAGTCAGGTGGAATGAGATGTTCTTAAGGTCCCTCCCAACCCAGAGCACTGTAGGGTTCTGTGATTCTATCCCAGCAGGTGATTTCTTGTATTCACCACAAAAGAGAAGTGGCTGCAGTGGTCACTAGTTCCTCACCTGTGTCACCACTATGTTGCACTCAGCAGCTCTGTTGGTTTTGATGTATTCATCCAGGATGTACTGGGGCACTTGGGTGGTTTTGCCACAGCCAGTGGCACCACGGATGACAACAACAGAATTGTGATGGACTGCATTCAGAATTTCATCTTCAAAATTCTTCACAGGTAAGGCATCTCTCTCTTCTTGGATCTGGGAAAAAAAATATTCCAGCACATTGCCAGAATCTCCAAAAACCAACCTGTTCCTCTCTGCATCCATACTCTGTCTCACTTTTCTACACAGGTTTCCCTTACACAAAGGAAAAGCTGTGGAAGAACAGGCCATAGCCTGTGTTTATTCCTGACACAGCACAACACATCCCCACACTCATCCCAGTGAACATCCAGCACTTCTGAAACCACTGAGATCCAGCCTTACACACTCTGCACATGCCAGGTTTAACTTCTTCTGGAAAACAGACACCATGTGGCAGGAAGCACACTCACCCTCCTCAGCTCCTCATCCTGCTCCAGACGGTACAGGAACTCACTTTTCAGGTCCATGCTTATTTGCTCTGGAGTGAGCTGCAAGTACAAGACATTGCTTGGAAACTTTTTGACCCTCTGCTTATCCATACCATAACCTGGCTATCAAATCAGTCCCTCCTTCTGGAAAACAGACACCATGTGGCAGGAAGCACACTCACCCTCCTCAGCTCCTCATCCTGCTCCAGACGGTACAGGAACTCACTTTTCAGGTCCATGCTTATTTGCTCTGGAGTGAGCTGCAAGTACAAGACATTGCTTGGAAACTTTTTGACCCTCTGCTTATCCATACCATAACCTGGCTATCAAATCAGTCCCTCCAATGACCCCTTGACCCTCTGCTTATCCATACCATAACTTGGCTATCAAATCAGTCCCTTTAACATAATGACCCCAAGGATCAGTAAGAGATCATTTCCCACAGAACTCCCTGAAATCAGTGACACCTGAGCTATTTCATTTCATTCATTCCAGTGTATTAAACACTCATCCTCCAAAAAGTTTCTCAGAAAGGTCCAAAACACTGCAAAGAATGAGAGTTTACATTTAAACCCCTGAGCTGCCTGAAGAACACTCTATGCAGCAGGAAGCAATGAGATGATCATCCAGACAGGAGTTTTTCATGTGAGCAATGAACCACCTACAGAACAGCAGCTGAAAAGGGAAAAGGGAGCAGGGAGGGAAATTCATCAGGCCACTCCTGTACTTCAACTAGGAAAGGATCCTAAAGAAAGTCAGATTTGGTACTGAAGTGCTAATTGCTTTTACTGCAGAGCAGCAGAAAAGAGTCTGAAATTATTCTTTTGGCCATAAGGACTCTGGATCTCTGTTGTAGGAAACTACAGTTCCTGCCCTGAGAGATTTCTGACCAGATTATACCAGTTAGGCCAAACCACCACCTGAACATGGCAACCCTGTAATCTTTCCCTTCTCCCTCATTCTGTCATGCCACGTTGTTGGTTCTCATCTGTTCTGCACTGAATGGGACTAAAAATGACAAAAAATAAGAAAGTGGCTGACTGTGAAGTGCCACTGGCTTGGAGCAGTTTCTCCTTCCAGAAAACAAGTGTCCTAGCATGGAAATATGGGAAAGAGAAGCTAGGGAATCATAAAGGCCATGCCCATGAGCTTACCTTGTGATTTCAGTTACACACTTTGTATGGGCTGCAAACAGCAGGCAAAAAGTGAGACAAAGCAGAGAACTGGGACACTCAAGACACTGCTGATCAAGGACTAATAAAACATGGGCTAAACACAAAGGACTCCTACCAGGGAAAAGACTCCCTGTCTCCAGGCCAAGAAGGGAAGAAATTTTATCAGTGGACTGTTTTCTCCTTTGGAATAGCTCATACTTTAAATCCTGAAGGGAAAAAGCATTTAAAAGTTCCAGAAGCATAGGGAAAACAAGGAACAAATCCATTTTTAAGTCATCTTACATTTGCCAGAGGACCCTCATCAATATTGCAGCCAGTCCAAGGGTTCCAGTTGGAATGAGGAGGTGACCAGGGAACAACTCCTGTATGATTTTGTTTCTGCGACGGTTCGAAATGGGCCAACTTTCCAACACTGATCAGCACTGGATCGTTGGGATCTTCAGGCTACAAATCCAAAGCAGAGTGGGCAAGGACAGGTGAATGCCTTAAACAAGCAGCAGGGATGTCACACCCTGGAGCATCCAAACCACACACTCACCGGAGGCACAATCTCCAGGGACAGGTCCCGCACAGTCTTCTGCAGCTGGTTCTCTAACTCAGGAGACAGGGACACCTCATAGGGCTCCAGCTAGGAAATATTGAGAAGCTCCACATCAATACACACAAAAAGACAGGCACTGGGAGCCAGGAGTATGAGCTGCTAGAGCTGAACCATCACAGAGTTCCTTGGGAAACAAGGCCAAAGAGTATCATCGGCTCAAAATTCACAGTCCTGATGTGTTTTGGGACTTTTCACCAAGTAAGAATCTGTTTGATTTCAGAGGACACATTCCCAAACCTGTCATCAAACACCTAAATAATATCTATTACTAGGTATGTATATATTTGAATACCCACAAAATGCTCACATGCCAGAGAATGAGTCCAAACAGCTGAGCAGAAATACTTCAGCTCGTAGAAAAACTAGACTGAAAAAAACCCTTTTAACAGCCTGTAAAACTAGTTACTGCTCCACTCACACACACATGAAGTTGTATTTCTGGTCCAAATCACTGGCTAGACCACAAACAGTTGCTAGACTAAAGACTCCAAATTATCATTACCTTGTAAGATGTTAAATACTGAGAGCAAACTTTAACTCATTTGTGTTTATGCTTCTGTGTGGTGAAGTGAAAGCCCTAATTCCTGCCCCTTCTGCCACACTCACCGACTCTCCTTTCTTCTTGGTCTGCCCAGAGTAAGGCTCGATGACCCCCAGGTGGTAGAGCTGTCTGACCAGGGAGAGGGCACAGGCCTGTGCTGCCAGCTTTTTGTTTGATCCATGCTCACGGCTGGAAATCCCTGCAGCACACACAGGCACAGCTGAGGCAGCTGCTCAGTCCAGCAGCTCCCACAGAACACACTGCTCTGACATGGGCTCTCTGCACACACATGCCGAGTTTCCTGGAAAGTTTCACATCCTAATAAATCCAGACTTCCAAGAAATCCACTCCACCAGCCAACTTGCATTGGCTGCATTGTTACTTACTGCCTCACTCAGTCCTGGGAAGTTTTTCTGCATTCAGTGTCTAAGAAGTGTGATTATCCCATCCCACCCAGCTACAAATGATCCTTCACCTCTGGAAGTGGCTCCAGCACATAGCTATAAAAGTCTGTACCCACAAATACTCCTCAGTACCAACACCCACCCTTTGCTAAGCTAAAAAATAAATAGAAACACTTACTTCTACACAGTTGCTTCAAATAGATGTTCATTTCTGCAATAAAGCTCCTGCAGGACAAAGGAAGAACTCTAAGGTA